GAACATGATTACACTAAAAAATTATCCTGTTTATCTGGGTAATACACTTTAACTAGGTGCCATGTATTTTAGCTGGTAACCCTGGGCAGACATAAAAATCCACCACACCCAACAAAAAGATGGCGGTTCTAATGGTTGTGCACAGGCAGCTCTGTAAGCACACAAGAGAAGGACAGCCAACGGAAGCTTCATATGACTGTGTGGGCCAAAGGAATGGTGCCTTTGTAGGGTGATCTGGAATAAGATTTGACAGGCAAAGTTGAGGGGAAGGAAATTCCAGAGGAAGGAGGGAGCACAGAGTTTGATACAATGCCTGGAGTGTGCGGTCAACGGGAGAAGGGCAGAGATGAACATGGGGGTAGATCATGAAGGGCTTCGGCAGAAAAGTGAAGGATTCAGACCTCACTCTGCCATCAGTAGGAAACCACCCAACCAAATACTTTTTATTTTTTCATACAATCAGGCTTTGATTAGGAAGCATTTTGTTACAAAATATGGGCCATGGGCCAATGTTACTGTGAGAGGCAATTTTAGGTAATAATTTCTGATGACTTGGCATAGTATGGGGAATGCAGCATTAAATAATCTTGACTCACATGGGGTAAATGCTAATCTCTTTTTTTTTCAGTTTAAAACTCTTAATTTTATTTTTACATTTATTTAATTCTATTTTACAATAGACTAGGGGTGCTTGGGTGGCTCAGTCATTAAGCGTCTGCCTTCAGCTCAGGTCATGATCTCAGGGTGCTGGGATCGAACCCCACATTGGGCTCCCTTCTCAGTGGGGAGGCTGCTTCTCCCACTGCCCCTGCTTGTGTTCCCTCTCTTGCTTTCTCTCTCTCTCAAATAAATAAATAAAATCTTTAACAAAAACATATATTAAAATTAACAGACTTTTTTAGAACAGTTTGGAGGTTAAGAGACATTGAGCAGAAAATACAGAGTTCCCATATATCTCCTCTTGGTTCCTTTTTTGTTGGCTTTCAATCATTTTTTATTATTCAAGATGAAAGTCTTCACTTGGTGTTATTTTATTTTATTTTTTTTTAAGTAACCTTTACCCCAACATGGGGCTCAAACTCATGACACAGAGAGTCACTTGCTCTACTGACTGAGCCAACCAGGTGCCTGGTGCTGTTCTATCTTTAACACCTTTCTAGTAGTTGTTCTTTTTGTTGGAAGAGAGGGTGGAAGAGAGAAGTAGGAAAGGGAGAGAAAAGGATAGGGGTGGGGGCAGAGCATTCAGGCTTTGAATCTTTGACAAGCCACAAAAATCAGTTGTTTTCAGGATATTGTTTATGAAAGTTTTCTTCCACTTCGGAGAACAGTATTCATCTCCCATTTCAGTTCTGATGATAAAAATTTCATTGCAAAATAAGTTCATTCCTATACAAGAAGTAAATAGATAAAGTAGATAATAAAAGTGACATGTGAATGACCAAAGCTTGGAAATTTTAGGGCTAAGGCTGAGGTTGCCTTCTTACCTGGTGGCAAGCTCCCACTGGACCTTTTCAGCGTTAAGGAATTTTCTCGGGAAAAGCTCCATCTTTTTGGGAGAATGAAGAAGGAATGCCTGGAGGTCAGTGGCTCTACAGGATTCCAGTAAACTGCTAAAACTCTTTCTCTGGCTCCTCTTCTCTGAAATCTCATTTTCATCTGGTCACATGTTCCTTTCTTAAAAGCCCTGACTATGAGGAACAGTCAAATGAATGCTTCTTTTTAAGAGGAAACCAACATGAAAATCTCAAATATTTGCCCTTAAAAACTCAAAAAAAGAACGGCTCAAGATTTTTAAAATAGTGAGTACCCGTGACACATCTACAGCTGACTGGTGACTTTCAAGAACATTCTGGGAGAGAGGACTCTATTAATTTATGGAGATTTCTCTGAAACCCATTTTCTGGATCAGGGTACAGGGGCCTGTATGCTATCAAAATAAGGACTGACCAGAGCAGCAGATTTTATCTGCTTTGAGAGAATCTTTTATTAGTTCATCTTCCTTTTAATTTTGTCTAGCAACCCTGGGTTCCCATCTGGGCTCACCCCATTACTAGCAGTGTGATCCTGGACAAAGAACTTCATCTCCCTGAACTTCCCATCTAGAAATGGAGAACAGTAATACTGTGAGAATGAAATGAAATTGTGTGTGGGCTTCTTGAGCCACTCTGTTCAAGAATTGCAACTTATTTCTGCCCTGTCCTCTTTGGTTCCAACGCCTCACTGATGATTGCAATCAGTCCTTTGATGTACTTTAACCGAGGTGCTCAATGTGAGTGTAGACCAGAACATTCTGGATTCCTCTCGGGATCCTCCACCCAGCTTCCAACCCAGGCTGTGGGCTCTGTGTATGTGTCAGAATGTGCATTTTGAACAAATGCCCCAGGGATGTTCCTGATCCCTGGACCTCCCTTTGCAAACCCCAGACCCAGGTCATCCCCAACACAGGGGAAACCCTCAGGCAGTGGATTTCAGTTGTGACTCACCAGAACTTACTTCGAGAAACATATTTTACATTGTGACCCTAGTATAAACGTACATCAAACTGAACAAGGTTCATGAAATGAGACCTATCATTGTGATAGTACGTGCTCTCTGCTATTTCTTGTTTTAAGAGAATGCTGACCCATAAATTGCATTTTAGGAACCATGATTGGATCATGCCTTAGAAAATACTGCGAGCGCTTGAGAAGCAAGTGCTGCATTGGTAAAAATGAGCAACTCAGCATTAAACCACAAGGCAAAAATTAAGTGACTTCTCATTCTCTTTTCCTATCAAAATAGAAAGGACATTATGTAAGCTTGGACTCTTCTAATCCTGGGCAAGAGAAATCGCCCTGGGAACTTGGCTGCTGAAAGTGGGAGGGAGACTGGTCCAGGGACACCAGGGACAGTGGTGTATCCTGTTTTACTGTTAAAATGGATGGCAGGCCTGGAGTATCAATGAAGGAAACAAAACATCAGCTCCAACACATACACAGATGCTACACAAGGTAAAACGTCAAAGGCTGCTGGGATGCTGCATCCACATCTGGGCGTGGAACTCCTTCCCACCCTGTCCTCTTCTCTGCAGACATTTTCCAGGCCACTCTTTCCAGAGGCCAGTGATTACTGTGAGTGGGCTTTGGTGTCAGGTTGGTCCTTGACTTTGATTTATCGAACTTGCACATATCACCCCTTCATGCAGAGAACCTGATCCTGCCACTGTCCCCAGCTACGTAATGATTTCCCAGCCATCTTCCCCACAGCGGCCTGTGCTCTGGGGATCGGTGAAGGCCTTAGTCAAGGCAGTAGGCATATTCACTCACTCATACTAGTGTCAGTGCTGGTCGGGTCCCAGGGCCTGGCCAACAGCTTTCTCACCATCTCCTTTGTCCTACCAGCAGCCTGGCCCTCCAGAGCCAGCTAGCTCCAAGCTCCTGTCCTCACATCTCTGTCTCAGCCTCACTCAGAGATCCCCTGGGCTTGGCAGAATGGCATGTCTGGGAACGGGGGAGCAGAGACAGGATCAGGCCCCCCCCCCCCGGGATCTTGTTTTTTGGTGCAGAGAGGAGCACCTCTGCTTCTTTTCTGCCTCATGTACTTAGAACATCTAGACCCAAAGATTTAAAGATTAGGAGCCCTAGAACATTCCATCCTTGACCCTGTGGTGAGGGCAGGCTTGATTTCGGTTCCAGGCAGATAAGCAGTTGGACCCTATGGACACAGTACACACCCTCCTCACCCCATGAAAGTTCCATCTGTCCCCCCATGGCCCCCAACCCTGGTGGTGGGCTAGAAAGAAGCAAAGCATCACTAATCATACTTAAGATCTCTATGAAAAAGGGACAAAAGCTTTTTTTGGAACCAAAATGCTCTTATACTCATCGTGTCTCAGTCTCTTTGATGTTGAGACCTACAATTTCCATAACACTTCTCCAGTCACCATTTCACTGGGAGGTTACATTCCAGAATGGGGAGCAGGCAATGAAGAAGAATGCGCTACAGCGACAGAGAGATGATTCAGATGAAAAGAGAGAAGAAGAGCACAGAAATACACAGAAGAATGCTGGGCTCCCCATCTCTCTCCTCTTCCTGTTTCTGACTGCATGCGAAAGCTGGCTATCTTTCTGTCTTTGGATTCTATGAACCAAGTGTTATTCTGCATGCCTCTAACAGTGCTTGGCACAGGGTAGGTGTTCAATAAATATTTACTGAATGATTAAAACTGTCCTTTTCTCTTAAGCAGGCATCTGTTGGCTTCTGCTACTCTATGTTCCAAAGAATAGTAAGATTCTGTCAAAATCTTAGTCATCAGTAGCTAGGGAAAGCTGGCTCCATTCTATGACTTCAGAACCCCAGTGTTCCTCTGATGGCAACCCCACATGGGAAAGGTTGGTGTGAGAAGCAGCTGTCTTCTCTGGGGCCTTAAATGTCCTGAGCTGTCTCAGTTAACAACAATAACAAAAATATTATAGATGGTAAAAGGACTTTCCAGCTTTTGTGTGTACATGTGGATTTTTTTTTTAATTTATAAAAGAATTTCAGAAAGGCACTGGGGGAGAGAAAAATGACACCATTCTAATACAAACGGATGCATCAGAGAAGAATTCTGTACCACAAGCGATGGGTCAATTAGCACTGGCTTCTATATGTTTGCAATACGCTAGGGAAAGAGGGCACTCGTTTGTTTCTTGATCACTGTGAAGAATTCCATCTTTGGCAATCTCTGGAAAGCCTTCTTCATGGCACGGTATCACTTAGCTATGCAGGGCCTGTTGTGGAGGTCATAAAAACATTGCCTAAGAAAAACATTGCACAGAAAGAAGAAAGGCTAAGTTAGAGAATGGGAGTGATACCTTCTAAGTTAGAGAATGGGAGTGATACCACAAGAGCTTTAAGCAATTTTGCAGTGAGATTGCAAGAAGGTGGAATTCAAACGGTAGAGCATCAGGAGGAAGACCAATGAATGGGGCATGAACAATATTTGCCGCAAACAAAAACACAAACACATTAGCTGCCGCCTTTTAAAATGTTGCAAATGTATTTTATCTTGGAGATCGGCTTACATTAGTTCTTGAATCTTCGCTTCCAATTTTTGAGCATCAGCTCCACAAAATTCAAAAATCTGTTCACAAATACACAAGGGAAAATATGTATTGGTTTAAATATTTAAAAAGATGTTAAAGCTTTGAGTTTTGCTCCTGTAAAATTATCCTCTACTCATTTCTGTTGTCCGAAAGATACTTAAAATATAAATACACATTTAACACATTAAACTCATGATGTTTCAATTACTTGGCACCTTTTCAAAAATTGTTTATGTTAATGTTTTGTCAGATTTATATAATTCTTCACAATAGTCTTCCAAACCGAGCTCTAAAACATACAGTGTGTTAGAAATGAGAAAACTCAATCACTGAAACCTCTCAGAGCCTTTATACATTGGTCTTAAGGACTTGTTAATTCATACACGATTTCTTGAAATCAAATGAGACATAATTTCCCATGCCCTGACCTTTGCACAGGTCATAGTATTATAAACAACTGATTCTAAGAAGCGTATATTCTTTTCAAATTGTCACATCTCTGTCTCAGGATACATCTCATAGTGAATGGCATATTTTATTTGGAACACTCTTCAGTGGTATGTAATAAAATGGTGCGTCTGTCAATGTGCAACTTAGATTTGATGAAATATGGAAGTTTAAGACCCTTACCATGCATTATCACATTAGTACCAATAGTATGATGTGCTTGTAGAGAAGGCAGAATGTGGGTTAACTGAGGACAGGATTAGCTGAAGATTTGAGTTTCCAGTGAGGGAGGTTTCAGCTGCCAGAAATGGACCTAGGACTTTGGGACAGGATTTGGAAAATTCTAGAACAACTTCAATGCTCAGTGTCTAGCAGAGAAGAAACCATCCCTGCTTCTAATGATTCTGCTTCCCCAGGCAGCAGCATTCTATCTGGGTGCTGCCTGTGAGCATCATGGTTCATTCTATTTCTTGAAAGTATACCCCAGTGTACCCCAGACTTGTGACTCCATCTTGATCCCATTTTCACTTACCGGCTTGCTCATGAATCCACTTCCATTACAGCAAAATGCTCTTTTGAGTCTCGAGAATAAGGTTACCTAAGTGTGGGTGCAGAATTTCATGATTTATCTGAGTTGCCTGGTTTGTACCCATTTCCTCTATAAATAGTTCTCGTGGCATTGGCTGGCGGGGAGGAAGGGGTCAGAAAGGATCTACAAAATGTTTCATTTCTAAGAGTCAGGTGGCAGGTGGATGGCATTTATAAGCATGAAGGGAGTTTTGAAATTTTCTGAGCCCAGGGCAGGTCACAAGACAAGAACCTCTGGCAGGAACATAGGCAGGGTTTGGCCACCTGAATGACGGGATTTGGCCAACAGTTTTCCGAAGTGATTTGATCAATTTCTATTCCCCCAGCAGAGGATGAACGTTCTGGGTGTTCCATATGCTTGACAACACCTGGTATTGTCCATTCTTTTTTATTTTAGCCATTCTGGTAGCTTTAGGGGACATTAAATTTGTCACCTAATTCCATGGATTTTATCTCATGAACTTTCCCTTGAACTTACTTTAGCAACAGCATATGATTTGTCTGTCTCCAGTCTTATGTCCCTTATTTCCCTTCCCCCTTGAAGTTCAAAACCACAAATCTAGTCTTTGTAAAATTCTTCAATGTTTCTTCACCACCATAAAATCCAAAGTCCTACAGGGATTCTTTGATTTTGTCCTATCTACCTCACTGAAACTGAATCTACCTCACTGTCCTATCTACCTCACTGAAACTCTGACTTCTAGCAATTCATTACAATTGGATTCACTTACTTATCTAATTTAACACATCTTTAATAAGCGTCCACTCTGAGCCAGACATTGTAAACACGCCAGACAAAAGTCCCCTCTGGAGTTCACATTCTAGTGATAACTTTGTACTAATGTGTTGTCATCGAAAAATTCCTGATACATACCCACACTATTTTGTAACTCCCCTTTCTTCCCTTCTTTCTCACCTGTTAGTTTTAACTATCCTTCAAGATTTAACTCATGAAGTCTCTGTGATCTCCTAGAACTGGGGCATTCCACTACTCAAGAGTTGATTCTGTTACGTCATCTCCTGCTGTTGACCAAAGACGGGGACTCCGCCTCATGTTTTCCCTCCTTACTTCTAGCATCTAGCTAGGAACCTTATACGGAGTGGGTGCTCTGTTAGTGGTTTTAGGTCTGACGTGAGCTGAGCTAAGCTGATTTCTGGTCACTGAAGTACAAGTCCAAGACTCTGGGTAGTGTTACATTTCAGAGACCAGGTGTTACCTATTTTCTTCTTTGTCCAATTTGCCAAAAGCAAATGTGAGGTGTTTCCCTGTCTAGCATGGGGCTTTATATACAGGAGCTTCATATGTGTAGTTAGTGAATGAGGAGCAGCTCAGTGGTAAGAGTTTATGGAATAAGTAGCTTTCTTTTGAAGAGATACACTTACAAGGAAACTAGCATATAATTTCTGCTTACAATGTTTTCTCATTTTGATCTGAATGTTGGGCCGTGTCTCTCAAAGGCATGCTCCACTTCTCTCTCCTCAATGCTTCACTTTATAAGCACTGCTGTCACCTCACCCCAACCCGACACCCATGACTGCTAATGAAAATGACAAACTCCAGTTTACGGAGCCCAGTGGGATATGGTGCAGGGCAGGGGGTGGGGCTCTCCATGCATTTCAGAACCAACGATGCCCATTATGAAAAATGGGCATCTTTCATTATGAACTTCTTTTTTAAAAGATTTTATTTTTAAGTAATCTCAATGCCCAATGTGGGGCTCTAACTCACAACCCTGAGATCAAGAGTCACACATTCCACCAACTGAGCCAACCAGGCACCCCTTATTATGAACATTTTCAAATACACACACACACAGAAAGAGAGTAAAAAAGTGACTCCCTACCCGCGATTGACTCATCACCCAGGTCCAACCAGAGGCATTTTTTTTTCCCCCAAAGACATTCAATCACCTATAAAAAGTATATTACTATTACTGAGAAAATGCAAAAGATCCAAAGACAAGGGTCCCTTCCTAGCAAATGGACTTCTGAGAGCACCAATTAAGGAGTTTAATGATGTATTCATAGAATAATTATAATGAAATACTTTGGACATTTGATAGGCAATGTGGTCAAGTGAATACTGAAGTTAGGTTTGGACCAGCTGACTGAAAGCTTGCCAATTTTCCAGACTTCTTTACTGAGTTAAAAACAACAACAGAATCCTCAAAGCAACAATAACAACACAAACAAAAGAGCCCAAACCACCAACCAACACAAGACACTTTTTTGGGAGAAGGCTGTAGCAATGTTCATACATACAATATAATTTCATTAGCTGTAATAGTATGATGTTCCTTTTCTTCCTTACAAAGGGCTTGCTAAGGCATTAAATCTTATTAATGAGATGGGAGGAATATGTCTAGCAAGAGAATGGTGAAAAGCACCTCTACCTGCTGAGAGCTGGACGGTGTTAATTACTTTTTGATGCCATCTTTGCTTCTTTCTCTGATTCAACCAGACCCATGCTTTGCCCTGAATCAACCTCATCACGGTGCAGGTGTTTGCACACTTCCCCCCTGGACTTTCACAAGGCCGTTGTAGGGCAGGCTTTGCAAAAGCAAGCAGCTCAGTTGTGGCTTTTGGAGTTTAGCAAAGTCAAACCAAGAAGGCAGGGCCTCTTAGAAACAGTCTGTTTCGAACAGCTTGAATTTATATACATTTGGATTCAAGATGAAAGCATATGAAAGCAATCTATTATCTCTTTTTTTTGAAGATACACTGGCCTTCTTCTCAATTTGTTCCAACAGTGAGATTTCAGGAAAACACTAATTTGGTTTCATTTTCTTTTCTTTTCTTATAGCTGGCTTAGAAACTCTGGCTGCATCTGTTTCTTAAGCACGAGTGGCATAAATACTGTTTTTCTCCTTCTATGTTGGAGGTTGACAAACTTTTTTTGGAAAGGGCCCGATACCTGTTTTAGGCTTTGCAGGCCATATCCTGTGTGTTGAAACTCCTCAGCTCTACTACATACAGTGTGATAGTAGTCAAAGACAATATTTAAACAAATGGACATGACTGCGTGCCAGTAAAACTTTATTTCCAAAAGCTGGTGGAAGGTCAGATTTGACCCTGGGGCCACAGTTTGCCAAGCCTTAGCCTACTCCATCAGTTGAAGGTGTTCAGCACAAACGTGAAGCTGCCTGAGAACTCCTCTCTCAGTACAGTGTGGTTTTCTGTTGAAGGGAGAAAGGGTCATGAGTCTAATGTTGTGGGAATTTATCCTAAGCCACACTGAGAATCATGAAAAGTGATTTCGGACTCTGGCCGTAAGAGATGTCATTCTGCCCGTTACCAGAAGTATAGGATGAAAATTTGTTCATGGGGATAATAATGGTTTTGGAGCCATTCTCTTCAATGACCTATACTCCTGTTCTCATGTTCCCACTGGAAGATCTGCTCAACTGTCCAATACTGGGAAATCCCTTCACTGACTTATCCCCAGCTTGAGGTGAATATATCAGTTGAGCCTAGATAAAGGAATGAGTTCATGATTATCCTCTCCCTTTCTGGGTGTGTTCTGCCCAAGGGACAGGTCTGCTCTCCTCCCACTGTCCTTCCTTTTCTAGAAAGCACCTCTGAAGCAGGCCTCATGTAGGTCTAGAAGGCTATTATCACCCTGTGTCCTCACTTTTGGAGCATGACAGTTCTGAAAAGCAGCACCATCTCCTCCACCTAGGTGGGTAAGTTTCTCTTCCGCAGTCCAAGATTCTCTCTTAGATGGGCCATCTCAAAGTCTAGGCTTCAAGGGAACAGGAGAAAGTCTGTTGACATGAGCCTAAGCCATGTTCTGTAATTAGCACAATTTAGTGTTACTACAACTTACAATAAAGGTGATATTTTGATTTTCTACATGACTCTGTGTGAGAAGAATTAACACAGCAGGTCTGGTTCCTTATCTCTTGCTTGTCTCCAAGGGAACCATGATTGATCCTTCATCAATGCCCCAGAGACTATGTACCCTCCCTCCACCGAAGTATTCTTTGTGTCAATAATTGATGATTTTGTTATATATATCTAGAGTGATGGACCATGCCACGCTGGCTTGCTTGGCATAAACATTAATATTGATGACGTGCACCTGGTTTTATTGTTGGGGTCCTAGTCTCCATTGTCATAGGTGGTTGTGTAGCAATGGTTGCTGAGCAAGATGTGTCCACATGGCCAGTCCCCACATAAAGGCCTCAGACTCTGAATGTCAAAAGAGCATCCCTAGGCAGAAACAGTCCACAGATGTCCTTGAAGTTCACTACTAAAGAGAGAGAGAGCACTCCTATGTGTCCCCAGCCAAGGAAGAACATCAGAAGCTTGTGCTGGACCTTTCTGGACTCTACCAATGCATATCTTTTTCCTGATATTTTTGCTCTATATTTTCTGTTGTAATAAATCTTAGCTATAAGTATAACCTGCTATTGAGTCTTGTAAATTCTTCTGGCCGATCACTGAATGAAGTACTTCTACATTTCAATGATTTAAAATTTCGAGGGCAGGGCTAGGAGGAGGATATAAAATTTAAGAGGTTCCCAGAACTCAGTAACTAAGATAAATAATATTTTAATAAATATTTTAAAAGTCAAACATTAATGCAAAAAATCCATCATGAACAAAATATCAAAAATTCAAATAAAGACAGGTTTCCACCCTATACCTGCAATCACCTGCCTCACTCTAATCCCTGCCCTGGAGACAAGAGGAGTACAAGTAATTACTGCGTATGAATTGCAAATACCTAGAGCAGTATCTTTAGCAATGGTGCTAAATGGTGATAAATGCTTGCTGCTGCTCCCTCTTTCTTTCCCTCTATCTCACTTAGTTCTTGCCCCTCCCAGTCAATTAATCTCTGCCGATGTATCAGCTGCTTATGGGGCTGACATATAACCCCCAGACACTATGGGAGAGTGCTTTTATTTTCCCTCAGGTAGAAACCCTCTGTGTCGCAACAACATCCTTAACAGGTTGAATATCCCTGGGCAGAAAACTCTTAAATGCTAAGAAGACTTAGCTTAAATGGATATCGTAGTCATTCAAAGAGTTTTAGAGGTCTCTCCTAATCACTGCTTCCAAATTTCTATTTATTCATAGATTTTCAAGGAGATAGGGGCACAGACAGATTCTGGGGCTCTAGCAATAACCTTATTTTAAAATATGTACCAAGTCTAGTGCTAAAGCATTTATATACATTATCACAAATTTTCATGACAACAGTTCAAAGATACATGATACAGTCCCCATTTCAAAGAGAGGGAAACCGAATTCAAGGTGGTGAAGGCACATTCCTAAGGTCACACAATAATAAAAGGCAGACCTGGGGTTCAACCCACAGGTGCCTGACTCCAGAGACAGCAAATACTAGCCACAGACATTCTTTTGGGCAGTCAAGTACTATTTTTTATGAACTTGAACAGTGAGCATTTGGGAGGGTAATTCTCCAAGGACCACCATCCTCCTCACTTTCTATTATCTTACTTATTGTCCCTGCCTGGCTCTTGAAGAAACCAATCCTGTCATCTCCTGAGCACCCCATGGTGCTGCCCCTTGGGGATCCTTTTCATCTTTATACCTACCTGAAGGAGGGAGCTCACTGAAATAACTTCTATGACCTGAGCAGGAGCCCTGCTGTTCACAGGCACAGGGACAGGAACTTCCCCGACTCGATGTGAGCATAGGAGCTCTCAGTTCTTCCAAATTATTCATTTGTAAACGGCTCACTTATTAGCATCTATGCTCCTATATCCCATGGCTCTTATGAGTAGATTAAAGTGCTTTGAGAAGCCATTTATTCTCATATCAAAAAATGAAAGATGGAACAAATTTCTGATGTTGGCCCATGTTTAAGCAGTTGGCCAAGAGTTGCTAAATCTTTGTTACTCTTCCTTTCTGCTATTCCACTGATATGTCAATGCTGGTCTGGAATCAATGTTATTAACCCAGGGGATCTCCTGATGGGCTTCAGAGGCTCAATGAATAACTAGTATCATATGCACATTGCAGTTTATGTATTTTTCTACTTATCATAGAATACACTATAATATTCTGGTTTAAAAAAAAAAATCAGCCAAGGTTTTGGATGGCCCCTCTGAAAGACTCTGCAGTTTTTTTTTTTTTTTTTTTTTAAACAATAGTTAATCTTACTGGAACAGGATGTGGATGTCCCAGGTGAAAACACAAAGGAATACAGCAGGAAGAAACAACCCTACCTTATTTATTACCTAGAATTTGCTTTCACTGTCTTTTGCCCCAACACTGAAATAATTACAACTCTTGTTTATAGTGCATCCCTACTAGGGGGCCATCCAAATCTGCCTGGAAACTTCCAGCAACACGTAATGCCTCTTATCTACTGAGACCCTAAGTCATTGTTCTGTAGCTTTATCTGCTTCAGTTTTTTCAAGTTTTATTTGTTTATGTTTTATGTATCTTGAAAATAGTTGAAGTGAGCTAGAATCAAGGGCAAGATAAAGTGACAACACCATTTGAGTATGATTCAGTATGGAGATGGCAATTAAGGAATGCCAGGAAACTGCAGATAAGGGGGAGGCTACTGTATTTGAGTAAAGGAAGTAATCTTGAGATTATTGGCAGCAATCGAAAAAGAGAAACCCAGGGGATTCCCTAAACCATCTGATCTAATGCAAGGGAGTGGATCGTATTTTTGAGGGCAGCAAACATTTTCCTAACTCTGTTCTATGAGGAATTATCGCAGGGCTTTTTATACAATGTACATTTTAAAAGGCATAATGGATCGTGGCTCTTTGCCAGACGTTTTACCAGAAATGTGAGTACCTTTCTTATAACATCCCTTAATAGAAACTGGATTCTAAGCCTTTTTTTTTTTTAAATACTAGATAAATGCTATTTAACTGCTTTCCTAAGTCAATTTTTAGTTGCACTGTCCCAGATGAAAGAGAGATAGAAGTGGTCTCAAAGAAACGAACTTAATCTTTTTCCACTCCAAGGAGAACAATGAATGTCATTGGCAGCTTTCCTAGTCAGCTCTATTGAGAGAGGAGGGAAAATCACATAGACTGGTCCTTTTGCACAGTTATGCTCTATTTTCCTTGGTTCCAGTGATTTTCCTGTACAGACCATTACAGGATAGAACCTGGGGGCATTTCAGAGGTCTCAGGTTTTGACTTCAGCTCTGGATGCAATGGAAGAGGTAGGGGACCCTCCAGAAGCCCTATACAGATCTCAGATATGAAATGCTGGGGATTAAGTCAAAGAGGTAAAGGGATCTGTAATACCATATCTTTAGGATTTCTGTCTCCATATTTTTTCTGCTGTTGTCTTTTGCACAGATTGTTATTCCTTATCAAATGGAAGCCAGCATTGCCAATCTTCTCTGCAGGTTTTCAAATGATATCTAAATTGACCCAAGTATGACTCTTTCTGGAGATACGATTATACATACAAAGTTTAGAAGTAGACTTATTTGTATATTATGACATGAATGATCTCAAGTTGTTGTTTTTTAAATAACTCCATAACCAAGATGCTAAGTTAGTAATATTCAATGAGACCCCTCAATTCTCAAGAACATTTCTTGGGACATGGGTATCCATGTTATAATCAGAGGCTGGCTAACTCTGGAATTAAAATGGAGGGAGAGGCAGGTCAGCTTAATGCATAGTGTCATCAATTCAGTTAATTTTCTTTTCCATCAGCTAACTGGCATAAAACTCAAAACAATGCCACTGGTGTTTCTGGTCTGAATTTGCTCTTTTGATGTATGGTGGCTTCTTTTTCAAGATCCCTGTGGTGGCAAGCTAGTTGTATACCATCAGCCTCACATCTCCCCAAGTTCAAATCCAGTGAAATTGAAAGAGAAGGCTTTTACTTAGCTACTTAGCCAAGTCTTAATTAGCTCTGGTTGGGCTTGGATTGGCTTGACTGGAGTCAAGGGGCTAGCTATTCTTGATGGGGATGGAGTTCACTCACAGGTCTAGGCCTGGAGATGGAGCCCTAAGGAAGCACATGGATCAAGAATGGGAAAGGGCAAGGTTCCCTGGAGGAAAATCAAAGAACTCTTGATAGAGAATGAAGAATGGCAGTCGGTAGCAAAAACGAGTGTCCAAACACCAGGTCTAAAAGAAGGTAGCTGATTGATTGAGGCCTGGAGCACAAGGGAGGGAATGCAATCAAGGTACGATGGATGAAATCCATTTCAAAAGAAGGAAGCATTTTCATTTCTGAGATGGAAGAGAGGAAGATAAAAAATGGCACAGAAACAATCTGATCTATGGGGGACAGGGAGTTGGGGATATGTAGGCTAATAGTTTCAATTTTCAAGTAAACACTCAAGAGAGGGAATAGGTAGTGTTAATTCTTTTTGAAGAATTATTTATATCTATTGCATCAATTATGTTATAGCAAATACCCAACAAATAGAAGCTAAAAATGAAATTCCATAGCTAGCCTACCAACTGCTTTCACTTTTTATGTTGTAGACACAAATCTTCCCCAAAGTTTAAGCCTGAATATTTTTGCTTTACATATGTTCTTCCTAACACTTTTAATCGCACACACTTTCATACAGTAGATGTAAGACAAATCACTTAGCAGGTCTACTAGAAAAGACATTGAGCTTGCTTTTGTATTTTGTTAGAAGTAATGCTACAATTACTGTACACTTAGGGACTTATTTTTCCTTGAGGTATTTCCATAGCAAAGGTTTCCAAGGATGGATAATTGTGTGAAAGGGAATCAACAGTTTGTTCCTCTTAAGCATGTTGCAAAGCTACTTTTCATAAGGTATGTACAATTGTCAATGCTCCCAGCCATATGTGGAATTACTACTTTCATCACACATGAAATATTTCAGACATTTCATTTCATTAATATCTTTGTGATAACAACTACCATAATGTGCTCAGCACTTATGCGTGTCAGGAAGGATCTACAAACTTGAGTCATATTAATTCATTTAATTCTCTCAACAACCTTTGAGGGGAGAAACTTAATGATCTTTGTTTCTACAGAAAAGGAAATTAAGATCAAAGAGGCTTTTAAGTGAAGTGCTACAAAGTGGTAGATCAGGTATTTGAACCACAGAAACCTATATCCAGAGCCCACATGCTTAACTACTAGGCTCTTTGCCTTGTGATTGTCTTTGATTAATATTTCCCCAAGTATTGCCAACAATTTGTATACATTTGTGTGAGAATTTCATCATGTCGTTTTCTGTAAGTTTCTTTTTTGATGGTTCTGTCTGATCAAAAAGGATAAGATAGGGACAATTGTGAGATATTTCTTACGGATTTGGATATCTCAGACAGTCTGAATGAGAATATTTATTACAATTCATGCATTTTTTGTACTCCTTGCCAATATGGAATGTTCAGAATCTAAGAATTCCATGGTAAATATTAAAAGTAAATGCAGTTGTTTCATGCATCCTGGATACCCCAGGCCTTTTTTTAGATTCTGATGATTCTATAATTCAACTCTGCCAGTTACCATGGAAACCTACCTTCTGGGCCTTCTTGAACATCTGAAATGTGGGTATGGCTTTGACATGATAAATTTGGGCCAAGTCCTGGGAAAGGAAAGAAATGGCATGAAGTCACAATTTTGGTATCCTCACTCTACACCGAGCCCAGAACTTTGTGACTTCTCAGGAGGCATGTCTGAAAGACCAGGGACAGCTAAGACTTGGTAGATTCTCTTGCTAAGGAATATCAAAGCTTCTAGGAATGCTACATAGAAAATGGTTTCTCTCTGAATTCCTGAGCTTTCTCCTCTCAGGGCTCTGGGAGAGGGCTGAGAAATGGAGGCCAAAATAGAACAGATGTCAAAGGACTAAATGAACTCTATTTAAAAGAACTTATGAAAAATTGCAGAGGGACCCCAGTTGAACCCAATATGGAGACAGCACATTGCAAAAAAAAGCTAAGGAAGAGTAGAGGTACCTTTGCAAAGCACACTTGAGGCATGGGTGTTAATACTGGTCTCGCAGTTTCAGTTAGGGTTTATATGTCTGTTTCTTTTAGGCCTTACTCCCCCCTTCACTGCCTGTGTTTGTGAAAGATGAATCCAAAGTCAATATGTCAGAATTCCAATTGTTATAATCCATTACAATCTGCTTTCAAATGCCAGTTTTTGTTTATCTTGTTCAAAAGTCAAAAGAAAAGATCAACAGAACTGGACTTCTCTCTCTAATATACATATCATTTTATGGGGTGAATCCCTCCCCTGCCACCTATCGCACACACACACACACACACGGACCCACACATGTTAAGTTATAATTTTCATGACCACAGCAATGACAACTAATAAATAAATTACTGTTAAAGAAAACTGTGCATTTTGTTTCACCTGAAAAGGGAAAGAGCTATAATCAAAAAGGCAGACAATAACATGTGTTAGGGAGGATGTGGAGAAACATGGAGAGCCCTCACGCACTGCTGGTGGAAATATAAAATGGTGTAGCTGCTTTAGAAAATGTTTTGCCAGTTTCTCAAAAAGTCAAACATAGAGTTACAATATATGGCAAAAATTCCACTCCTATATAGGTACTCAAGAGAAATGCAAATATAGACATACATGTTATACTATCATTACTCATAAAAGTCAAAAGGTGCAAACAATCCAAAAGTCCATCAATAGCTGAATGGCTAAATAAAAGGTGGTGTAGCCATACAATGGAATACTATTCAGCAATGAAAAGGAATAAAATGTTGATAACATGCTAGAATATAGAGGAACCTTGAAAACTCATGCTAAGTGAAAGAAGCTTGTCATAAATGACCACCTCTTCGATGATTCCATTCATATGAAATGTTCAGAATAAGCAAATCTAACAGAATATAGACTTATGGTTGCCCAGAGTTGGGAGAGAAGGAACTGGGGGTGACCACTAGAACCTCCAAAGTGTTTTTTGTTTTGTTTTATTTTTTGGGATGGTGAAATGTTCTAGAATTGATGACAGTGATGGTTGCACAACTCTGAATATAAGAAAGGACAAAGAGATAATGATCCTGGGTGTATTCTGAACACACAATATATGATTCACCTTCAAGGGCAATTAAACACTGTAACACTTTGATGAAGTTTGAAGGAAATGGAGAAATGGAACTTCTATGGCGTTCTGAGAACTATGTCATACATCTTATGTATTTCATCTCATTTTATATTGTTAAATTTTATTTGCCCTGTTTTATAGATGAAGAAAATGAAGTTTATAAGTGATAAGAAGTCACAAAACTATTAAAGAAAAGGATGGGTGCATAACAGATTTTTTTGTTATTCTAAAGCTCAGATTTAATCCAGTATGCCCAACAATCACTTGTTACTGTTTTTTTCCGAGTTATAAATAGACAAATATTAGGAAGAATAATTTTTCAGATACTTTGTGTATACGAATAAGGCACATTTTTTTTATTTTAAAGATTTTATTTTTTTATTTGACAGATGGAGATCACAAGTAGGCAGAGAGGTAGGCAGAGAGAGAGAAGGGGAAGCAGTCTCCTCGCTGAGCAGAGAGCCCGACGTGGTGTTTGATCCCAGGACCCTGAGATCATGACCTGAGCTGAAGGCAGAGGCTTTAACCCACTGAGCCACCCAGGTGCCCCCCCAGTAAGGCACATTTTGACTGTGGACATGAGGCTGATTATTTTGGGGTAGAGGGTGAGGAAAGAAGAATCTAAGGAGGGAAATGAAGGATTTCTTGGAATTCCTGTGATGTTTAAAAAAACCCACAAAAATCACAAGATATAGCAAGAGAAAAGCAAGGTATATTAATTAAAATGTCTGTAATGCATCGAGTAAAGTTTTAGTAATTGATTAATAATTTACTATAAGGGTGAAAACCACTTTTCACCTTGAACGCAATATCACTCAACTAGTATTGTCTGTGTAGAGCAATTCTGCTCAGCGGGATTCTGGGGCAGAGCTGAGAGCAAGTGGAGAAAAAATGTTGGGAAGTCTGCCACAGTATGGGAGAGGAGGGGGCAGCAAGAGAGTCACATACTTTCTCACATACTTTAAAATTAATACAAAACATATAAGAACATTATGAGGAAGTTTACTACCAATTAACAGAAAAAAATTATGAAATTCTACTCGACTTAAAATTGACTATATAATCAATGAGATCACGGAGACAGGACTTTCAAAGACACTGCATTTGGATTTTATGTATCCCCATGGAAGGATCTAAGATTCTTACCTGAGAATCATCCACATCCACATTAGCAAACATTACATTTCGGTACTGCAGAGACATTGCCTTCAAAATAAAGGAATAAAAATTCCCTATTAGCTTAGCATTAATACTAATTCACACATGAGAATTACACACTTTTCTCTTGGCAAAAACAAACCATGAACAAAAAGACGGTTCAAGAGAGCTGAGCATCACTCTGGTATTTCACTACTGCCTGGAACTTAAAGCACGAGAGTCAAATATGGGATGATACCAAGGCCAAGTCAAGATCACTGGCAGAATCAGAGTCTAAAGAACCATACTGGAGATCAGAGATTCAAAGCTGGGAAAGGAAGCGAAGAAATCATGACATGTGGGTCCAGATTTACTCTGCAGGCTGAAGGGACAGAGGAAAGCTGCAGCTCTCTTCTGCTTCTGGTTTGTTCTGAAAGCATCTTTGGCAGCAGTGGTGACAAAGGTTTTGATAATGGGTTTGGGAATAGTGGATGCAGTGGCAGCCTGTAAATGTCACCCCTTGTGTTTTTTCTTTTTTTTCTTTTCAGACAGCTGTGTTCATACTTCAAGGACACTTAATAGCATCTGGATTTGTCTGCTTTAACATCATATCTCAGGCATTTCCAGTGACCTATTTCAAATGGGACCTTTCTCTGATGGTATGAGGTATCCAGAGACAATGGAAACTCTTCTGTTGTAGGGATTCTCTCCAGCTATTGTCTGGAGGTTGTGACCGAAGTGGGAGTTCTTTCTTTGGTGGCCCATCAAGGTTGTGAAAATGGGGAAAAACTCTCAGATAACAGAGTATTTTTCAGACAGAAGCGAAGCTGATTTTGGTCAGCAGCATCTCTGTGCCTTATAGGAAAATGGGATTGCCCATGAACTCTTGGGTAATTGACTTGTACTTCAAAGTTTGAAGATATATGGATGTTCCCCAGTAGGAGTCATGGGAATGAGTTTGACCTATGTGGACATATAACTGTATTTATGAAGTTTTCAGAGCCTGTCAGGAAATGGACAGGGTTATGGAAGTTGCCATTTTTGCATCAAGTAGTATGTATACATGGGATAGATATGGGTTCTTTGCTAGGCTGGGTTCCCTTATGGACACTGCCTTCCTTCATTATCCCATTCCATCCACTTATGACCCCATCCCCACCCCCACCCACTCTTCCCTCTACTCTGTTCTTCCTCGTACGTAGTCTGCTACTATTTGGTTACCTATTCCGTTGATCTTAGCTCTAAAATGTCTCCTGAATTTGATCTTCTCTTATTTCTCCAAAACCACTGCCCTAGTCTTGGAAAACCTATCATTGAGACTGTTGTCACCTTGGGTTAGCTGCCTTTAGTCTTTTTCATCCATTTGTGTATAGCATGGCTAAAAATATTCTCTACACTCTCCATTTGACCATGGCAGAACCCTTTTTAAAATTCTTCTGTTTTGACTGTCTATAGAAACTCATTAAATTATAACACAAGGTCCTTTCTCTTTGAAGTTCATTTGTCACCATGCCTCTGTGTACACTAAGTATACCTCACAGACTGTTTGTTTTTCCATGATCATACCAAGAAATTTCTCAACCAATATATAACTTCTCCTTTCTCCTGAAAAATGCTCTTTTCAGGATGATCCTCTTCACCCAGGGTCAGCAAACTGCACCCCATAGAACAAAGCCAGGTCTCCACATGGTCTTGTAAATTAAATCATATCAGAACACGATTTGCCTGTTCTTTTGTGAATTGCCACTGGATGCTTCTGCACTACAATAGTGAAGCTGAGTAGTTACCACAGAGACCACAGGGCCTGCAAACTTGAAAATATGGACTGTCTTGTCCTTCACAGAAGTTTAACTGGCTAACTTCCATTCCACCTTCCTGCAGAGCCTGGAAAGGAAAAGAAGTAGAGATTCCTTGGGCTCCCTCGCAGCTAGAGTTCTGGATGCAGATTGATTTTTCTCACGAGATACATGCAGGAGAGACATGGAAGGTGGAAGTGAGACAGTAGCTACTTTCTTCTTATCTTTGGATGTTCCTGCTGGAAAGCAAGACTGTGGGTAATGGAAGTGGTTTTTGCTGGAGACAGCAGAGTAACCAGACTCAGGCACTGATGCCCAGACATCAGCTTCCTGGAAGTCCAGAGGCACTTGTGACAGTAGGAGCCTCATGATTCTGGTTCTAATTTCCAACTGATACTCTATTGTCATTTTGTTTTCTCCTTCCAGGGAAGGGGAGTGGCTTCCCATCCCCTCTCACTTCTGATTATGGCCAAGTTAGGATCCTCAAAGTGGGGTATGTTGTGTTTTGAGAGAATCATTCATGGAACCTATTAATCTAATCTTTCAATAATTTTAAAAGCAATTAATTCCTTGTATTAAAATTCTTTTCTGTTTAATTTGGTTTCTGTTGCCTGCTTTGATCTCTGACTAGTAAAGTAACCTAGAGTAAGTAAAGCCCTCTCTCCACCCCCTTACGTACTAGAAGTTTAGAATAATTATCATGCAAAATTTCAAACCTTACAAGAAAGATAAAAGAATCCAAAATTAACACACTTTTGCTGAAAAAAAAACTTCTTTGATATGCATCTTTCTGTTTCCCTTTTCTCTACATATTATATGCGTGTGTTTATATATATATATACATACATGCATGTGTCTGTTTTACATAAATGGGACCATCCTAGATACATTTTTCTATACTGTACTCTTATCACTTAATACTACATTGTCTTAGAGACAATGTCACTATTCCATATGGGTCTACTTGATTCTTTTTAACATCTGGACAGTCTTTCAGTATGAATTTGCCAAAATTTATTTTAAAAGTATATTTGCATTAATCTGGATTCCACCAGGAAACAGATGGCACATTCAAATTAGGATCACTTGGGTAGTTTATCTCCAAAGGGCTAACTAGGTCTATAAAAGTAGGAATGGGTATTGGAAGAGCTACAGGAGCCTGGACAAAACTGTGGCAGAACTGTTACTGCCCTTAGGGCAAGGTATGAAGAGAGGAGTTACTAAGCCTTCACATTCATTGCTCTGTCTGGAAATGTCACATGTTGGCTGTTGGAATTTGATCAGCTTTGACTGTGTGGCATGTGAGTATATTTATACTCTGGAAGCCGAACACGGAACATTTTCTTTCTTCAAGTTTTGAGTGTCAGAATAAAGGGGCCCATGAGATAATAAAATGTTTCCTCTGGATAGTCCAGTAATTTTTAGGTACAGAATGGATGTTGGGATGTCATGTAGCCAATTTCTGTACTTGGATATAAATCAATGTCAAAGGTTGTGACTGTGGTTAGAATGAATTCAGGTAGATTCAAGACACAACAACAAAACGTATGATGTACTATATGCTGGCAAAATGAACATTAAAAAAAAAAGATCAGGGAAACAAAAAGAAATTTAAATTAAAAAAAAACAGTTCAAATTGAAATGTTAGAAACTTTGTTGAAAAGAAACCATAGTATATTCAGTCGTGTAGAGAAATCAAAACTTCTTTAAATTTGAAGAAATATTTCATAAAATTGACCATAAGTGTGAAACTTCTCCAAGATAAGGAGAAATGAAAATGCCCTGAAGTTCTTTCTGTGCCATGTGACACCAAAAATAAATAAAATGTTGAAAACTTTTAAATGGAGCAATAAGGAAATTAACCAGATGAAATACTGTATAGACATTAAAGTTATAATCTGGAGACCCTACAAAAAGGCGAAAGAATGTGTACATGGAAAAAAGACCCAAATAAAATTATATGATTATAATTAACTAGAATATTTTACTAAAATAGTTTATAAAGTAGAAAAGACATGAAAGAATATGTAAGACATAAGTTCTGATAATAGGGTTGAAGGATGGGAGAAATCTATTCTTTTATATTATAGTTAAAAACAAGTATCATATTTTTTTCATAAACTATTCCATTACTTAGAAGTTCTGAACTCTGGAACTTTGGCAAAATGTCATTATTATGAATAATCCATTCATTTGTACCACTGTACCCTTTTGCTCATCTGGATTCTGCTTACAGAATTAGCCATAGATAAATAGTATTAATCTTCTAATGTGTATACTTATGACCTTATTAGATCTTGGTATGTTATCATACGGATAATCAGGAAGCTTCAAAAAACTATGATTCCATATGGCTTATAAGTGCAAACTTTTTAAGATTGAGAAAATTATTAGGGGATTTAAGATTCCTTCAAAAACTGGGAAATATATACAGGTGATACTTACATGAACAAGAGGACAAATCTTTTGGCAAGGACCACACCATTTTGCTGAGAATTCAACCACCACAAGTTTGCTTCCGGCAGCTTTCAAAAATGTTTTTAATTCATCCTGAGACCAGAGCACAAATGAAATATGCATAATCACTGCATTTCACACAACTTGCAGATAATGACACTTCAGTTCTTGAAAACCTTAATGAGATACCCCACCCTATCATTCTCCAGGAGACACACTTTTCCTAGAAGTCCCTGTGGTCACATATATTTAACTTTCTAAGTATACATAAGTGACTCATAAATCTGCAAAAAGTGATTAGGACTGTATTTACCAAGTGGTGGTTTTTAATGGTAGGTTACCTCTGGGGAGAAATAAGATTGACCAATGAAAGATAAGCGGTGGAAGGTAGTGGTGGATAGTTGTTCAAGGTGGACATCTATATTTGACTTTTTTAACAAGGACCCAAACAGGGATTAATAGTGAAATTTAAAAGAAGAAAAAGAAGACTGACACCTTGAATCCATTTCTTGTTTTCGTTTTGTTTTGCTTTGGGAGGTAATCATTACCAACGCTGTAGTCAAACCATACATTTAAAGATTTGACATTCTTCTCACTGAGAATCTGCAGTGATTTTTCCATCAGCTGTCCAGATCATTTAAGTAAGGTTTCCCTTTCTAGAACCTCAGGCCGTTTTTATCATAACTTCCTTGGCCACTGGCCAGGCACCTGGCAAGTACTCATAGAGTTGATGAATGATTTGTTTAGTTGATGAATGATTTGCTAATATACAGTGTTTCGTATATTATTTATTTTTCTTTTACTTTTTTCTCACTGGAATAGCAATGACAATAGTAGCTAATTTACTCTGCACCTGGTGTCCTCTTCCTTAATGTTTACTACCATCCTCTGGAATGGGTATTAGTTTTATCTCCATTTTGCAGATAGAATAAAACAAAAGGTTATTAACTTTCTTCCAATCAACCAGCTGCTTGGGACTGCTAACCTAAGCAGCCTAATCCACAATCCCTTTCCCTAAGCAGTACACGAAATCATCTCCTGAGTTCTTTCTATTCATGGGGTTCTCTCTCCCTCTCACTGGTCCGAATTCTATCACATACTCATCCCTGGACCGATCATTAAGATGGGGAATGGATCAAGTCAAGCAGGGCCTATCACTGGAATTAGGAATGGGGTTAATTCCATACAAACGGCATACTGCTCTGTAATAGGGGAATCTTGACAATTATGTTGCCAGTTGATTTAGTTTCAAGCAGATGAAACAGATGACTGAAGGAAGATATGCTCTCTTTCTTTACTCATATTTCTCTAGGATGGGGGGTTACTTAACTCTTTAAAGAGCTAGGCCAAGCTTCCATTTCTTACTTGCTTCTGAAATTATTCAGTAGGTGTCATCCTCACAAGCTCTCAACACCCTCACTTCTCAGCAGATGCTAAGGTGTAAACTGGCCTAGCTGGATCCATGAATTTGACTTGGCTAAGTTCTCTGAAGGGAATACCCCCATAGGATACACACTGACTCGACATGTACCTATTAAGACTGATGCTATGCCAAGTAATGGACACACTGCTAGGATACAGCTTGTGCAAAAAACAAACAAACAAACAAACAAAACAACAACAACAACAAAACAAAACAGAAAACATTTCCCTGCCTCCATGGAGCTTATTTATTTATTTATTTTAGGAGTTTTATTTTTTGTTTAAGATTTTATTTATTTATTTGACAGAGAGATAGAGAGAGCCAGAGAGCACAAGCAGAGGGAGAGGAAGAAGCAGGCTCCTCACTGAGCAGGGAGCCCAACTGGGGGCTCAATGGGGGGCTTGATCCCAGGACCCTGATCATGAAGTGAGCTGAAGGCAGGTGCTTAACAATCTGAGCCACCCAGGTTCCCCCGGAGCTTATGTTTAGAGGCAGAAGCTGATGGTAAGATCAATAAGTAAAATACGCTCTATGCTAGTAATCATTGTTAATAAAGAAAAAGGAAGAAAGATAATGCCAAAAGGAAGGAAATGAGCTATAGTCTAGGTGGCCAAGGTTCACCTCAAATAGAAGGGGACATTTGGATACAGATATGAAGGGGACAATAGGCCCTCAGGAGAGGTCTCTGAGGAGGAGACAGAGAGGGCATCTCACAGGGCTAGTGAGACCCTGGGTTATTCTGTAAGATTCCCAGAAAATAAAAAAAAAGAAGTATCACATGCAAATGTGTGTTATTTTAAAACATTTTCTTACAGCAAATCTACATGGCAATGCCTTCTTTCAATCCGGTTAGCCTCACTTTTGTGACCTTATTTATAGCTGCATTTGGGGAAAATGTCAAAAGTGTAAGTCAGAGGGTACTGATGGATAGCAGGCCCAAGCCCTATGCCTCCCCCTTCCCTCCAGGCCCATGCCTCCTGTAACAGGGCCTGGCACCAGAATGTCTGGGTTCCAAGGCCCACTTCCCTCCTAAATGGTGTAGAACCTTAACCACTCTTACATTTCTTCTTTATAAAGAAAGAACTCTCCCTGGCCTATCCATAGATTTTGATTTTTTGTGTCAGTAAAACTGAACAGTGGATAGAAAGTGGCTTTATAAAATACCACCTAAGGAATTGTTGACACTGTTGGCTGTCATTTTTCTTACCCTATTCCATAGGCACATCTGAGGTTTCTATTTTCTAGAATAAGAGAAATATACAGACTTTTATTTTCATAGATTGTTCCAGGTGCAGCTAAGGTGGAATCAGTGGGATCAGGTACAGGACAGGATGTGTTAGGAGTTGGCCTGGATTCAGCTAGAGTCAGAGGAAGAAATGAGAATCAAAGAAGAACAAAACCCTTCCGATCGATTTGTTGCTTGGCTACTCTCTAGATGGTGCCATCCCTCGAGCAAGAAAAAGGAGAGTAAGACTTAAAAAAAAAAATCTCCCCTTGCTACAGAGCAGTGAAGGAACACTAATAGAGGAAATCATTCTTAAGGTTTATCAAATCTGTTCTCAAGGTTGTCTCTTTTGAAATATCAGTGAAGCCATATAAATACTTGCCATGTCTTTAATAATCTGAACCATGATTTCCTGGGAATTGCTGACAAAACCTGCCTGTGTGTTCAGTTGGCTCACTGTAGCAGTCTGTCATGAAAGGATCCTAGCTGGAATAGAAGGGTAACTTCTCTATGACATCATTAAACATGACATCTCAGAACCCAGAACTTCAGCAGACTTGAAGTGAATTTCACTTTTATGTTATGACTAGGTAGTCAACGTGTGGTCAGCCAAGAGCCAGCCAACTGCAGGCCTTGTGCGCAGACTCAGTAATCAGTCTTTTTACTTTTGATCTTCTGCCATCTATTTCCATGACCCCTCTTCCTTCTACACCCCCTGCAACCACCAAATGAGAAATAAGCAAGCTAATATTAAATAGATGAAGACTATTTTCAGTTAGGAGTTTGAAGGGATTGTTTTGTAATTAAGAAAAATAGGAGAGCCTTAATCCTATAATTGTAGGCTTCCTACCAATTAGGTTTTATGAGTCATAAATTCCCTGAACTTTGTTATTTTGTTCTAATCATTTAGGAGGTAACGAAATTTCACTTTTATGGACTGGATCATGGGTGGGCAAACTTTTTCTGTAAAGAACCAGATAACTCGGGCTTTCTGGACCACTTGGACCTGGACTCTGTTGCATAGTCTTTGTTTTCATAATCTTTTAAGAATGCAAAACCCATTCTTAGCTGGCGGGTCATACAAAAAGGTCATACAGCATTTGGCCAAATCCTACACATGGTGATTTGTCATTTTTCAGAATTTAACGTTAGGAAATAACCCAAACATGGCCATGACCAATGTTCCCCTTATCTTCTTCAGAGCAATTACAAGAAAAATGAAAGAAGTTGCAGAACTCTAGAATAACATAAAAACATCAAAGTCTTCCTTTCTGGCCTTTCTATATATATCCAGTCAGGTCTCTCAGGTATGGGAGTTGCCAGCCCTTCCTTTTTTTTTTTTTTAAGATTTTTATTTATTTATTTGACAGACAGAGATCACAAGCAGGCAGAGAGGCAGGCAGAGAGAGAAGGAGGGGAAGCAGGCTCCCTGCTGAGCAGAGAGCCCGATGTGGGGTTCGATCCCAGGACCCTGGGATCATGACCTGAGCCGAAGGCAGAGGCTTTAACCCACTGAGCTACCCAGGGACCCCTCCTTTTTTGTATGTATTAGATGAAGTATGAAGTATGCGTATTTTCCTGTATGGCCACAGGCCAACTTGGCTTTTGTAGCAGATATCAGAAATCCCCTCCCAGTACCTGCTTCCTCTACTTTCTGCCAAAATACACTGACTTTTCTGTGGATGAATTTATCCCTCCTCCATTTTATAGAAGCTATGCAGTTTGTGTGGGATCATTCTAACCCTAAATCCAGGGTTAGACCCTTGTTATCTTAATCCAACCAATAGTCTTATCTTTAGGTCAAGAGTTAATGAAGAAGGAGGAAGAAAGCAAGAGAATGCCATTTCTAGCACGTGTGACAGAGTCAGTAAAACTTTCTCTTTCCTCATCTGGATATTAATAAGAATCTGGCTGGCAGCTCTTACAAAACACAAAGGAACCCAGCCTTTGTTGAAGGCCAATATGCCACAAAGATGTGAGGAGACATTGAAGAGAGGTGCGGTTTTAGTGATACCTTGATCCACGGGATTAAGTGTGGCCAGAAGTTCAAGCTAAGTCTGAAATGTTCATTTCCACAGTAAATTCCTTTATGGTTTAAACTGGATTAAGATGGGATTTCTGATAGTTATCTGGAAAGTATTCAGATACAATATTATAGAAATTTCTCCCCCTGAGTCAAATTGCAAGCACTATGACTAACATCATCATGGGTGTTTTTAAAATTTCTCACATAAGGTATGTCGTAATAGAGCAAAATCTAACGTTATGATCAAGGAATTTAATTTCTTATTTCTGATATACTGAGGCTCAAAAGATTCATTAATGCTCTGCAATGCCCAGGGAGAACATGGAAGGAACACGAGCTTTTGGATTCAGACAAATGTTACTTTCCACTTCATGATGTATGACAGGTGCTACAGTTGGATAAAATAACTTGGTTTCAAATCTGAGTGCTGCCTTTCTGAGATCTTGAGCAAATTACTGCTTATTTCCTCATCTGCGAAATGGGGATAACATCCACTTCATGAGGGTGTGGTGAGAATGAAGAGATATGAAAAAAAAACCTGGTCAAGTGTGTATAATTTCTAGCCCAAGCTAGCAAAGACATGCATTCCCTTCTGGATTCCCAAGTTTATACTTCAGAGAGGGCTTTCTTAACGCCTTAGAGAATAGAAAGCAAACAGAAATTCAACATGTTCCCTTTTGAGATGGCAGAATTCTAAAAAGAGAAACAAAACCTAGCTGACCACAGCCTTTGGTGGCATGCTAGGTTGGCCATACCATAGTGTTGGCCAACATTGACGAACTAAATATTTTAGGAATAAACAAAGCCTCTTATTCATCTTGACAAAGACCGGATAGCTCTGGTAGCATTGCCTGCAGTCTTGCATTGTGTGTTAACTGTCGGGCGCAGAGCAGTGACCGCCCCTCTGGAGGGGCCATACCCTTTCCAGTCAACCACTATCCCCGCCATCTTTTACCACTTCAAGAACTCAAGGTGGAGTGGCAAGGTCCTTTCTGTTGTGGGCATGCAGCTATTTGACTTCTACTACAGTAGGCATTGGAAGTTTTCTAATGTCGTTCCTTTCTCTTTGTCTTTAGGGTGTCCCTACTTATGTATACTACTTGGCTGGTTTCTGTTGGCATTTGAGTTTGAGACCCTTGATGCTGATGTTTCTACCATCACAGGCAGGAATTTTTTTTCCTGGGCATATATTGAAGACTTTATCATTTCCTTCTCCTTTTCTCTCTTTTTCATCCAAGAAGGAAAGACAGATGTTGATACATATTGTACATCCTTCAAGCCCCCGATTAGGAACCACTGCTTTGATGTGCGGGCTTGGTTCTAAGCATCACTTTATTTAGGTTACCTTGCAAGTACCCAGTTAATAAAGGGGACCGTGTGTGCTCTACAAGTGAAATGACCAAGGTACAGTACTGCAAGTTTAGACAAGTTATCCTAGGCAGAATTTAGAATTCAAGTCTGGGTCACCTATCACTGTCACACAGGGAGGAACGTGGGGTCAGTCAAAATATGCAGGTCTCTTAGAAAGCCATTTAGAATGGATCAACTGAACTTGGGGAGTGAATTTTTTTCTTTGCTTTAAGACCACAACTATCATTTCTATCTTCCTTTTCCTCATAGGATTAGCTTTTTCAGAACTTTCCTCCACTGCGTTTGTAAAGAAATTAGTACAGAATTAACCCTCGGGCTGCAGTGCCAAAAAACTCCTGCCACATTCTGGGGTTCCTGGAAGTTGAGCAAGGCTGGGTCAGTAATTCTGCCTTTCAGCACTTGTAGACTTTTCTTCAGAATTCGCTCACACTGTCAGAGTACAAGTTGACAGCCCACAGAAATCTGTTTATTCTTTTTTTTTTTTTAAGATTTTATTTATTTATTTGACAGAGAGAGAGATCACAAGTAGGCAGAGAGGCAGGCAGAGAGAAAGAAAGGGAAGCAGGCTCCACGCTGAGCAGATAGCTCGATGCGGGGCTCGATCCCAGGACCCTGGGACGATGACCCAAGCCGAAGGCAGAGGCTTTAACCCACTGAGCCACACAGGCGCCCCGAAATCTGTTTATCCTTAACTGGAATTTGCACTTGACTGCCTTCTTTGTTTCCCTGACATGCAGTCACATGTATTTTCCTAGACTCATTTCTGACCTCATTGTTGGGAGCAGGAACCTTGAATGTAATCTGGGTGGAGTCTCCTTTTGAGAAGTCCGGGGTGTGCGTGTGTGCTGTGTGTGCCTGTGTGTTTTAGTTTATCTGGGGCAGAATCCTGGGAGTGGGTTGGGAATTCTAAATCTTGAAAAAAATTGACAAAAACAGAGTGGGCAGAAGAGAAGGAAAGAGGAAAAAAGCTGATGAGAGGAAAAGGGAGAAAGGAAGGGCAAAAGAGAAGAAAGGGAAAAAAATTTTTTTTTACAAAATACAAAATAAATAGCTAAATCATTCCTATATATTGCTTGGACTTTACCTCAGGATTTATAGAGGCCTATCAGAACAGTAAGTAGAGGTGCCTGGTGGCTAGGTCGGTTAAGCGTCTGACTCTTGATTTCAGCTCAGGTCATGATCTCAGGGTTATGGGATCGAGCCCCCCATCAGGCTCTGTGTTGGGGATGGAACCTGCTTGAGATTCTCTCTCTCCCTCCGCTCCTCCACACCCCGCCACCCCCGCAAGAATGTTAAATACCACAGAAGTAGGTAAATAACCAATAGAAATTTCAGACCATTATTAGTCTTATCCTAAGGGAAAAAAGTCACTTTAGCGCTCTCTGCACAAAAGCCCTGGTGAAATCTTCCTCTCTGTGGAGGTTTAGCTATTGGGTGAGAGCTGAGAGGGAGTAGATCAAAGATCTCCAACCGGGAAAGAAAGGAGGGGCTTCCCTAAAGTGCTCTGAGGGAGAGGCAGAGAACTGGACCCACTCCTAGAGTCTTGCCGCTCAGTATGCTATTCAGACCAACAGTATCAGCATCACCTGGGAATTTGTTGGGGGGGAGGGGGAGAAAAGGAGCTACAGGAACAACAACAAAAAGAATAACGCATGCAAGAAGAAGGGTGAAAAGGGAATTGCATACAGAAAGGATAAAGGATTTACAGCTAGGACTTTATATGCAGGAGAAGGGGGAATTCTCTTTCGTGCTGTAAGACCTTGTTAATCAA